ACAAAAAACATGTATTAAAAACTGCCCTGCAAAGTTAAGGATGGGCAACGGTACCCTTGCATCCCTGCCTCCTCGGTCCATCCTTGGCCGCTTTCGCCGGCCGCGCCCCGCCGCAAAGTGCTGGCATGGCCTTCCAAGGCCCCTGCATCCTTACCGCGCATCCGATTACTACTACTACTACTACTACTACTACTACTACTACTACTACTACTACTACTACTACTACTACTACTATTACTACTACTACTACTACCTACTACTACTACTACTACGACTACTACTACTACTACTACTACTAACTACTACTACTACGACACTACTACTACTACTACTACTACTACTACTAATACTACTAGCTACTACTACTACTACTACTACTACTACTACTACTACTACTAACTACTACTAACTACCTACTTACTACTACTCACTACGACGACTACTACTACTTTTACTACTACTACTACTACTACTACTTACGACGACTACTACGACTACTGACTTGACGGACTATACGAACTACGACTACACTACGACTATTACTACTTACTACTTGGAGCTACCACTACTTGAACTACTATAACTACTACTATACTACTACTACTCTACTAGCTAATACTACTACTACTACGACTAATACTATTCACACTCACTACTACTATTACTACTACTAACGACTACTACTACTAACTACTACTACTACTACTACTACTACTACTACGCCTACGACTACGACTACGACTACTACTACTTACCTACTAACTACTACCGACTACTACTACATACTACTACTACTACGAATAACTACTACTACTACTACTACTACTACTACTACGAGTACGACGACGACTGACGGCGACGACGACGACGACGACGACTACTACTACTACTACTACTACTACTCGACTACTACTACTACTAACTACTACTCCTACTACTACTACTGCTACTACTATAACTATAAATACTACTACTACTACTATTACTACGACTCTATCTATATTACTACTACTTACTACTACTACTACTACTACTACTACCTACTACTACTATACTACTACTACTACTACTCCTACTACTACTACTACTACTACTGACTACTACTACTACTTACTACCTATAAGCTACTAACTACTACTACGACTACGACTACGACTACGATTACTACTACTACTACTACTACTACTACGACTACTACTACTACTACTACGACGACTACTACTACTACTACTACTACTACGACTACTACTACTTCTGCTACTACGACTACTACTACTACTACTACTACTACTACTACTACTACTACTACTACTACTACTACTACTACTACTACTACTACTACTACTACTACTACTTTGACACGGATCGACTGTAGATCTCTTGCTTTGGAACATGAGGGGGAGCGGCAAGACATTGCAGTGCTGACGCGTGGCTGTTGTTCGGCTCATGCGTGCCACTGCCAATGATCTCCTCATGCTGGCGTTACGCTGTCACACTGACTCTCCAGTGCACCCGTGGCCAGCCCTCCGCCTATGAGGTATACGTATGCGTTTGTAGTTACGAATCCTAAATCGGGCAAATCCCTCTACAGGAGGAAATTCAAAAATTGACAACATTAACTTGTGACGTGCCCAACCCTTTCTATACGTGTGGCGATTCTACTCAGGACCACTAAATGCTGACTGGCATTCTGAAGGACCCGCAGTGCGCAAGAAGAGCACCCAACAGTGATTTCAGAAGAGCGCAGCAAGAAGAGGAACGGCAACTATACAACATGGAAACACAGGGGCGTTGAAAGAAACGCGTATGACGCACCTCCGAATGATCCACGTGGGACGTACCTCCGCTGGGCCTCCCAGGAGCCCACGAAAGTGGCGACAATTGCGCAGATCGCAAGCCCTCCAGGGGGCGGCGAGGTCCCGAGGTGACCCGCGTGGGACCCACCTCCGCTGGGCCTCCCAGGAGCCCACGAAAGCGGCAACAGTTGCGAAAATCGCAAGCCCACCAGGGGCGGCGAGGTCTCGAGGTGATCGGCGTGGGACGTACCTCCGCTGGGCCTCCCAGGAGCCCACGAAAGTGGCAACAGTTGCACAGATCGCACGCTCCCCAGGGGGGCGGCGAGGTCTCGAGGTGATCCGCGCATCCGCGTGGGACCCACCTCCGCTGGGCCTCCCAGGAGCCCACGAAAGCGGCGACAGTTGCGCAGATCGCAGCCCCCAGGGCACCGCGAGGTCTCGAGGTGATCCGCTTGGAACCCCTACCGTTGGGCCTCCCAGGAGCCCACGAAAGTGGCGATAGTTGCGCAGATCGCAGCCCCCAGGGTATCCCGAGGTCTCGAGGTGATCCGCGTGGGACCCACCTCCGCTGGGCCTCCCAGGAGTCCACGAAAGTGGCGACAGTTGCGCAGGACGCAGCCCCCAGGGCACCGCGAGGTCTCGAGGTGATCCGCGTGGGACCCACCTCCGCTGGTCCCCCAGGAGCCCACGAAAGTGGCGACGTTGCGCAAATCGCAGCCCCCAGGGCACCGCGAGGTCTCGAGGTGATCCGCGTGGGACCCACCTCCGCTGGGCCTCCCAGGAGCCCACGAAAGTGGCGACAGTTGCGCAGATCGCAGCCCCCAGGGCACCGCGAGGTCTCGAGGTGATCCGCGTGGGACCCACCTCCGCTGGGCCTCCCAGGAGCCCACGAAGTGGCGACAGTTGCGCAGATCGCAGCCCCCAGGGCACCGCGAGGTCTCGAGGTGCTCCGCGTGGGACCACCTCGGCCTCCAGGAGCCCACCAAGTGGCGACAGTTGCGCAGAGTCGCAGCCCCAGGGCACGCGAGTCTCGAGTGATCGGCGTGGCCCCCTCCGCTGGGCTCCCAGGAGACCACGAAAGTGGCGACAGTTGCGCAGGTCGCAGCCCCCAGGGCACCGCGAGGTCTCGAGGTGATCCGCGTGGGACCCACCTCCGCTGGGCCTCCCAGGAGCCCACGAAAGTGGCGACAGTTGCGCAGGACGCAGCCCTCAGGGCACCGCGAGGTGTCGAGGTGATCCGCGTGGGACCCACCTCCGCTGGGCCTCCGGGGAGCCCACGAAAATGGCGACAGTTGCGCAGATCGCAGCCTCCAGGGCACCGCGAGGTCTCGAGGTGATCCGCGTGGGACGTACCTCCGCTGGGCCTCCCAGGAGCCCACGAAAGTGGCGACAGTTGCGCAGATCGCAGCCCGACGGCTCGAGAGAAGAGGAGAAGGGAAAACAGGAAACAGGAGAGGAGGAGGGGAGGATGGGAGAGGAAGAGGAGGAGGACGGGGCGACCACACTGCTCTATTCAAAACGAGTATCCAACCATAGGAGGGTTGGGAAAAACAGTCGGGGGATGATGTTTCGATTATCTTTAAATATGTTCGGTCATTTTGTGATTACGCCTGTAGGAGGACGTGCACGACCTAAATTTGGAGCTTCGAAACTTCATGTTTGGCGGTTGCCTTCTCCAGATCTGGTCTATCACAGCTGGATCGTCTCAGAGGCTGTCACCCAGCTTGTTCGGTGCCGTGGGCTTCTTCAGAGCCCCGCAGACTTCCGATGTCCCCGCCGCCCCCATCACTCTTATCCGCGATTGCGGGTACTACGTATGTACATATCTATGTGTCTAAAAATGATATGTATATATATATATATAGATGTATATAAATGTGTGTGTGTATGAATGTGTATGCATATGTGCATGAGAGAGAGTGTGTGTGGGGGAGAGAGAGAGAGAGAGAGTGTGTGCGTGCTTGTGTGTATGCGTGTGGTGTGTGAGTGTGTGCGTGCCTGAGAGAGTGCGTGCGTGCGTGCGTGTGTGTGGGCGCCTATGTGTCGCTGTGTCGCTGCGTCTCTATGCCTCCGTGTCCCTCTGTCTCTGTGTCTTTGTGTCTCTGTGTTTCTGTCTTTACGTTTCGGTGTCTATGTGTAGTTGCACATGCGTATACATATTGCGATGAAGGCCTTACGGCCGGTGCCGCCGACCCTGAAAGGAGGAGACGGCGACGATGACGAAGACAGTGGCGGCGGCGGTGACGACGACGACGACGCTGACATGGGCCAGAGTCCTCAGGGATGCTTCTTGGGATCTCTTCGGAAGGCTCTAGGGGGCCTCTGGAGAAGAGTCCTGGGGCCTCTTGGGAGCCGCTTGGGGGCCTCTTGGGAACCTCTTGGGGGCATCTTCGGACTTCTAATGACCTCCTGTGGACCTCTTGGGGCCTCTTGGGAACCTCTTGGGGCCTCCTGGGAGCCTCTCGGGACAGAGGGCTCGAAATGTCCGTTCGGGTCCCCATGTCTGGGCACACTCTTGGAGCCGCCTTGGGGTGGGGGCCGCTTGGGCCGCCTTGGAGGCGTTTTGGAATGCCTTGGGGTCCTCGTGGGCTGTGTTCGGGTCCTCTCGGAGGCCTCTTTCCTGGGCCGTCTTGGGGCGCTATTTTGGGGGCCTCTTGCGCCGCCTTGGAGCGGCGGGGAGTGGCCCATTGGGGCCCTCTAGGGAGTGCTTTTGGGGGCGTCCTGGAGGCCTCCTTGGCAGTCTGGAGGGCGCGAAGGCGTTTTGGACCGATCTTCTGGCGATTGGGGACCCTCTCGAACACTATCGGGGGCCTCTCGGGGCACTCTTGGCCTGTCCTGGTGTTCCTTTCTGAGGCCTCATGCCCCCCCCCGGGGCCCGCCCTGGGACCCCGGCACCCACCCCCAGGACCCCCCATGGGACCCCCCCCGTATCCACCCCCCCGACGGGTGAGGGATCAGAGAGAAATGGCTCCCCTTCGACTCGATCACGACACTGCTAGAACTTTGTCTCGCTGACAAGCTCGTGGAGGCGGATGCAGGGAAAGGGGACGACGGAGACGACGACTGACGGAGACGACGACTCGAGCAGACAAGCCCCCCTCACACGCCGACAGGGTCGACGGATTTGCGCACCGTTGCAGATGTGTCTATGCACAAAGATCTATGTACTTATACATTAAAAAAGGAGCACCTGTATACGTTACGTGTACTAGTATGTTGCCTTCCGCTCTGACGCGCGGTATGCGATCCGATTGTTTTAACCGCAGCCATGCAGTACGTTTTATTAAGGTGCAGTGCGGGTCTCGCCTGTCCGCTTGTCCGCCGGGGTCCGTCGAGGCGGTCTTCGCTGCGAAGGGCCGAGGCGCCCGGCGGCCAGAGGTGCAGGCCGGACCTTGCCGCCCACGGAGGGCAAGAGCCCGTTACATGTCTGCTTCAGCATGTATTTTTTGAAATCCCCCGCGAGGCGGGAGTTAGAAGGGGGAGGGGGGAGGAGTGGGGAAGGTGGAGGAGGGGGGGGGGAGCAGGATGGCGCCGAGGAAGAGGAGAGTGAGGAGGAGGAGGAGGAGGAGAGAGGATGCGGTGGAGCAGCAGGAGGGGGAGGAGGAGGAGGAGGACGTGGAGGATGAGGAGGAGGGAGGGAGAGGAGGAGGAGGGAGGAGGGGGGGAGGAGAGGAGGAGGAGAGGATGCGTGGAGGAGGAGGAGGAGGGGAGGAGGAGGAGGAGGAGGAGGAGGAGAGGAGGGGGGAAGGGGGAGATAGGAGGAGCAGGAGGAGCATCAGGATAGCAGCAGGAGCAGCGCGTGGCAAGCAGAGCATCAGGGCAGTCAGGAGCAGCAGCGCAGCAGGAGCAGCAGGAGCAGCAGGTGGGGGAGGAGGAGGAGGAGGAAGGAGGAGAGAGGAGGAGGAGGCGAAGGGGGAGGCGGAGGAGGAGGAGGAGGGAGGGAGGAGGAGGCGAGGGGGGAGGAGGAGGGAGAGCAGGGCCCAGGATGAGGATGGGGGGGAAGGAGCCCGCAAGCCAAGCCGAGCCTGCCGAGCTCGGGGCACCGTCGCGCCGCCCGCAGGGGGGGATCGGCAGCGCACGGGGTGACGAGGACGCCGTCTCGAGGAAGAGACGATGACGACGCCGACGACGACGATGGCGACGACGACGAAGAAGACGAGGACGACGACGTGCACCCTCCTCCCTCTGCACTCCTTCTCCCCCTCTTCTTTCCTGTTCCTCCTGCTCCTGCTCCTCCTCCTCCTCCTCCTCCTCCTCCTCCTCCTCCTCCTCCTCCTCCTCCTCCTCCTCCTCCTCCTCCTCCTCCTCCTCCTCCTCCTCCTCTTCCTCCTTCCGTAGCCATTTGGCTCATGCTGTTCAAGTCGGGCCGTCGCTCATGTCGTGCCGCCGCCGGGCTGCCGCGCGCCGGTGCACGTGACCTTCGGGGTACCCATCTTGTTCTATGTCTACGGGATGCCGACGCGGCGCCGCCTCGGCTCGGCAGGCGGCGGACAGGTTGGTCGCGAGGCTCGTCCGCGAGCTCGCTGACGCCAAAGCCGTCAATTTCAGGTTGCAGCAGGAGCTCACTGGCAGTGCGGTGGGTTGCGCGGCCGATTTCGCCGAGGTGGCGCGCCGCGAGGCCATCGCCAGGCCCGCCCTGCTGGCCAGGGTTCGTGGCACTCGCGAACCTGGCGCCCGCCGCTTGAAGCGGAACGTCGCGCGGCATGCCGACGAGTGTCCCGACAAGTCCGCCCCAGTGGCGGAGTGGCGGAGCGCGCAGAAGGGGCCTCGCCTCGGCGGTGCAGTCGGCGACACCGTGGAGCAGGAGGTCAAGGCGATCCCAGCGGTACGGCAACTGCTGCTGGGCGCTGTCGGTGTGCTGCCCCGTCGCCTCCCCCACGGCCTCGTGTGGCGGGCGGCGCCCTTGGAGACTTTCTTGGCCTTCGAGGCGGGGAAGCAGTGCATCGAGTTGGACGCGGGCGCGGCGGCCTTCGCCCCTGCCGCGGCTCCCTGTGTCGATGCGCGCGCTGGTGCTGGCGGCCCGCGTGGCGTGGGCTGTCGATGCACGTGCGGGACCGTGGCTTTCTCGAGCGTGCCGGTCGGAGCGCGCCCAGTGCGCGGTTGCCACCGGGAGGCGGCTGCGCCGCCATCGGAGTGCGACAGCGCCGCGGGCACCGTTTTCTTCTCCTCCGGCGAGGAGTCGGAGGTCGACGAGTGCCCTGGCGACCAGCTCGTCCTCGAGGAGTGCGGGTCGGCCGAGGCCACCAGCGAGGGCTTCAACCTCGAGGTGACCGTTCCGGTGGCGGCCGTGTTGCCGACGGACGGCGACCAGATGAGCGTCGATCGGGTCGGGGAGCCCATCGCCGAGCTCGGCGCGGCGTCGGAGGTCGACGTCGAGGACTTCCTCTCAGAGACGCTCGCGGCCTCGGATCCCGTGGCAGGCGTGCACATGGGGGTGGTGGTGTGCGAGCTCGAGCACTTCGGTTTGGACATCGAGCTCGTCGCCGCTTACCTCGCCTCGCCGCGATTCGCCGAGGTCTTCTACGTGGAGGGCGAGAGCCTCTTCCGCGTGGACGGGGCGGACGCGCCTTCGGCGCCGGCCGTGCGGCCGTCGGGCGCGCGCGCGGGCGAGCGAGGGCCGTAGGCCCTGCGGGCCCGCCTCGGAATTCTGGCGCGCGGTGCCCCCTGGCGTGGGTTTGGGGGGGCCGCCGCCTGGGATCGGGCTCGCACTCGGGGTGCGAACCCGTGTCCCCGTCGGGGGTGGGCGGCCGCTGGCGGCTGACGTGGTGCCCGCTTTCGCCCCCGCGGGGGTGGCTTCTGGCCGCCGGGACTGCCTTCTCGGTAGTCCAGGCTGGGTCGGATGCTTGTCTGGGCTTCCCCGTCCTGGGGCCCCCCCCTCGTCGCCTCGGCGGGTCGGCCTCGCGCGAGCGCGCGGTGGCGAGGGGCTCTTCTCTCGAACTTCTGGCGGCCCTGGCCGTCGTCTTCGCTTCCGTCGACGGCGGTCAGGGCTTCCTTTGAAGCTGCGCCCACCCATGCTCCTCCTCGTCCTCCTCCTCCACAGCTTATCAATATGAGTACTACTCTCCCTCTTCCCCTGATGACGGTTTGAAAGTGGCCGCCCCCCCCCCCCGCGTATTGTTTTGTTACACACAGGTTTCCCCGGAGTTGGGTGTTCGCCTGCATGTTTTTGTCACAATGCTGCTCTCGCTGAGGCGCCGGCCTCATTTTCGGGCCCCGCTCGTTCCGAATCGTGTTCCCGCTGCAGCGCTGGCCTCATTTCCGTGCTTCCGCTCGTTCCGAATCGTGCTCCCGCTGCAGCGTTGGCCTCATTTCCGCGCTTCCGCTCGTTTCGACTCGTGCTCCCGCTCCAGCGCTGGCGTCATTTCCCGTGCCATGCCACGGCATGCAATGCAATGCTAGGTTGATACTGCGTTTTGCAGTGCTCTTCTACGCCATGCCACGCCGTGCTTTACAATGCATCGCGTACCCTTTCGGGACCAGTGCCCTGCTCGACATCCGACTGAGCGAGTAGAGAGGGGATCTGCGCCATGGTAAGGGATGGGAGGGAGGGTAGGATGTCAGATGTGACGCGAGCGCACCTAGCTTGCCCTCCTCCCCCTCCTCCCCCTCCTTTTCCTCCTCCTCCTCATCCTCCTCCTTTTCCTCCACCACCTCCTCCCCCTCCTCCTCCCTTTTCTCTCCCCCTCCTCCTCCTCCTCCTCCTCTCCTCCTCCTCCTCCTCCTCCTCCTCCTCCTCCTCCTCCTCCTCCTCCTCCTCCTCCTCCTCCTCCTCCTCCTCCTCCTCCTCCTCCTCCTCCTCCTCCTCCTCCTCCTCCTCCTCCTCCTCCTCCTATGCCGCTCCTCCTCCTCCTCCTCATCCTATGCCTCCTCCTCCTCCTCCTCCTCCTCCTCCTCCTCCTCCTCCTCCCCCCTCCGTAGCCATTTTGGCTCAAGTGAGCCCGCGCTTCGGGGGGCCCTCGCAGCGCGCCGCGCGGGCGCGTGGCGCGCCAGAGGCCGATGTCCGCCAGTGCTGGTGGCAGCAAGCCGTGGGCGGCGGCTTCTGCCCGGTCGCTGGCCCGGCGCCTGCGGCGAGAGCGGCATGCACAGCGGGGTTGGTCTCGTGCGGCCGCGCTGTCACGCCGCACGAAGGCGCTCAGGGCCTCGCTCGACGTCCACTGGCGCCTTGGTGACGCCGTCGGCTGCTACCTCCCCACGCTCGGCGAGGAAGTGGCGGCCGCGCGGCTGATCGGTTGCGACCCTGCCCTCCTCGCCAAGGCGGACGCGGCGCTGGCGGAGGGCAACTCCGCACGCCACGCGCCGCCGCCTGGCGCGGCGAGGGGGCTTCTTAAGACGCCTGACGGGCTGGTGGCTGGGGCGCTCGAGCGCCTGCTGGAGGGCGCTACGCCGCCCCTCCGCCGCGACGCCGAGCCGTTAGTCCCAGTCGTGCGAGCTCGGCGTGGAGCAGGTCGTGTGCAATCCCAGCGTCGTCCCGCCTGTGCAGAGCCACTCCCGCGTCGTGGTGGACGTGGGAGCCCCTTCGCGATGCGGATGGTGCGGACGACGCCTCTGTGTCAGAGCACTCGCAGTTGGTGGGCAACCTCGGCATGTCGGCTGAGGATGTGGTGGACCCACTCGTCGTGTGCAGTGCCAAGCCGCTGGAGGAGGTTCGGGAAGATCCCGTTGTGCAGGCCTCCAGCGAAGTCAGCAGAGTGGCCTCTCCTGGAGGTGATGAGCACAGCAATGGTGTCCAAGGTGGTGGTGACCTTGGTGTGGTGCTCTCCGACGGCGAGCCTGCTGACGACCCTAGCGGAGGTCCTCATGATAGTGATTGCGTTGCCCTCGGCTCCGAGGGCGAGCCTGCTGATGAGCGGGGCGGACATGGTGTTGAAGATGGTGTGGCCCTCGGACATGGTTGTGGTGATGCTGATGGTGCTGTCATTCCGATCGCGCTCTTGCAGTTCCTGGTTCAGCAGCAGGACGCTGGCGCCGTGGTCCACGAGGGCGACCTCATCGCGTGGCAAATCGAGGACAGCATCCGGTCCGAGGCCCACCTCATGGAGTGCGAGACGGAGGTCCAGGAGGCCATCGACAAGATGATCGACCAGGGCCTCGTCTCCGTCATGAGGCCGTCGCTCGGCCCGTCGCGCGCGCGCCGCCTGCTCGCTGCTAGCCGCCCTGCGGTCGCGCGGTCGTGGCCGAGCTCGGGGCATCCTGGGGGCGGCGTAAGTGGCGGATCCTCGCGTGGTCTCAAGCGCCACCCCCCAGGAGCCCCAAAAAGCGGCGCCGAGGGCGGCGGAAGTGGCGGATCCTCGTGAGGTCCGAGCGCCACCCCGTAGGCGCCGCCCTTCTTTTTGGTGCCGTGCACTTTCCCTTCGGGTCCTTCCATTCCATTCCTTTCCTTTCCATTCCATTCCATTCCATTCCATTCCATTCAATTCCTCCTCCTCCTCCTTCTCCTCCTCCGCCTCTCCCTCCCTCCCTCCCTCCCTCCCTCCCTCCTCTTCCTCCTCCTC